GTGTGTGTGTGTGTGTGTGTGTGTGTGTGTGTGTGTGTGTGTGTGTGTGTGTGTGTGGAATTGTGTCAAGCAAATTGAATTATCAACTTGTTAGGAAGTGGAAATCAGTTACATCTTGGCACTGATATCAAGCAAATTAGCAAATCAAAGACACAAATCTTAATTAATCAGGTTTTCAATTTGACAGAAATTACGAAAATATTAAGTAAGCAGACGGCAGATGAACGCCTACAGTTAATGACAATGAACACCATAGCTATAGGAATAGTTATAGAAGAGGAACAATTGAAATTCTAACTCTAAATATTTAGATATAAATTTCTGCGATTTTCATTTCACAAAGGAGCTCCAGAATAGCTTTAATTTCTTTTAGAGTATAATAAGAATTATGAATAGTCAGACGGGCGTATAATGCTAGTAGATACTCTGCCTAAGTTCAAATATACATTGAATTGACATTAAGTTTTCTTATGCGAATCTTTAGTTTATTGTCAAAGTTATATACGAATTTTGGCATAGCTAGAAATAATAAAAAGTAAATGAATAAATGAATGTAATTTTTTTTATAGCTGAAAGAACTGCCAAGTAGCCTATTATGTCGTAGCAGATTAAACTGGCTAAATACAATGCTTAGAGATAACATTGGGCGCATTTATTATACTTGTTAGTACGTATTTTATAGATGCATACGTACATACGTACGTAATTGCCATGAGGAAAGATGTATCATAAAATGTTAGTTTCAGTTCATGTTTATGGCAGGGAATTAGGCAGCCGAAAGAGTCGCTGGGCTGCAGATTAACTGATGCTTTGTAGAAGTGGGTTACATTATAAAAGTATCTGCGCAGTTATTTACGGGTCTGCATGGTCCCCGAATAGCACCAAAATGACAGCCGAAATAGCTGTATGTATAATTGCCCAACAGCTCTGCACGGAGCCATGAACCACGCCCATTAACTACAGCCACAACGAAAAGAAAAGAAAGTGCAGCTGGGTGTTGGCTTCCTGCCTGCAGCCGGGCCGATAGGGTCGATAGCTGTACATGTATAAATATGTGCAGGACTTGAGGAAAATTAAGAAAATGTTTTAACACTCTGGGCAACACGCTCGAAGCGAAGAGCTCTTGCTCTATTGTGTTCATGACTTGCAACTGTATGTGGTATGAGCTAAAAGACTTTCAGCGAATCTCTTACTTTTATCTAGCCGTAAGGTAGCTCTGTACATCTATATACGATAACGTATTGTGCTTCAGATACATATTTGCATGATCTGCTTAGCGTAAGCCCCAGAATCGATATGCCCAGCACACAGCAGAGCATACTGTAAATATAAAATATTTATTGCCAGATTGCACACGCATTCAGCATGTCCTTCGGGCAGCTACAGCTGCAGCTACAGCTACAGTACAGGCTGCCTGCTGATATGCACAATGTTCTCTCTGCCATATCCTTTCCTTTGACTGCAGCGACAAACGCATTTAACATGCATTCCACCCGTTTTGCCAGCCAATTCATAACATTTAACAGCTCGCAGAGGCCAGTGAAAACATTCTTACACTTTACGATTTAATGGAGACATTTTTGGTACAAATTATCTGCCCACTCTCTCCTTGGGGCACCATTTAAAAATCAAGTGTGCTGAAAATTAAATTTCACACAGCTCTGCAGCAGCAGCAGTAGGGCAGCGAGTCAATGCAGTAGAGTGCAATGCAAGGGCAGAGCATGGCTTCCAGCCAGAAACTAATGAAACTGCCTCGACTGCTGCTCTACAGCTACTGACATTTCAATGGACCATCATGTTTCCCACATACACACACACTCACACACATAGTAATATTTACTAAACTTTCGTGTAACATCCATGCATGACTTTTTAAGGCAGCGCAATTAAAGTCAATTGGCATTTTACCAAAATGCGCTCAACGTGTCGTATACGTAATGCCAAGCTGGTATCTGTCTGTGTGAGTGTGTGTGTGCTGTCAACAGCATTAGCTTGCGTTGACTTTAGTTATTAGCACGTCTCTGGCAGCACAAATGCTTTCATAATTCATTACCCACACCCACAAATGAAATTTTCGACATTGCGCATACGCCGCGTTGCCTAAGCATAAATGAATTCATTTGCCCGAACAAACTTTATAGTTATTTAGGTGTCTTCTCCGTTTGCACCGACACAGATTTTATGGTTTCCTTCGATGTATTGTTTGGCAATTTCAAAAATCAACACCATCAACGATAACAACAACAACAACAGCAACAACAGCAGCAACTGGCAATGAACTGAAATTTATTTGTATTTCGTTTCGCTCTTCGAGAAGTTTTACAGCCTAACTAGGTGCTGCTGGCTGCTGATGTTTGTTTTATGGACTTTTGCGGCACTCCGGCCCCATTCCACCCAATTCAGTTTATAATGTGGCCATAAAAGTTGTGTGCGGACCAGTCAGCCATTTGCATTTTTATTCAGACCCGACCAGCAAACGCTCGCCTTGATTTGGCAGTTTGACTGATTAGCTCGCATTATAAAGCGCTTTGACATTTACGAGCATATTTTGGATCAGCAGCCCATTCGATACATTGGAGCAGCAATCATAAAAGGAATTTCCCTAATGCAAATGGCCGCAGATTACTCAGCGACCTTCAAAGTTTCAATTTTGCGTAGATTCTATAATTTGACGACCCTTTTCCAGCCCCTGCCCAGGTCTATTACTCCATTCCTCAGCTTGTGCTAAGCAAACTGTTAGATGTCGGCTTGCAGCTACTTTACACACCGTTGACTTAATTTTGTGCCAGTTCCATTGGCCTTTGCATAAATACATCCTAATGCGCCTCCATTTTGTGGCGCTGCAGCCAGCGGCAGGGCAGCCGAGGTACGCTAAACAGATTTGCACCTTGCATATAAAGCCAAATTTACAAGCTGTAACGAAAATTGCAACGCAAATATGCAAATAACTATAGAAGCAAGCCACAGCAGCAGCAGCAGCAGCAACAGCAGGAGCAAAAGCAGCAGGAAGCGCGACCCTCGCTTAAATTTTAAGAGCTACCAGAAAAAAAGGTTTTGTGCCAGGTTTTCATTTGGCAAGCGAAATATTCAGCTGAAAATGAAGTTGTTATGTATGTACATATATATATGTGTATGTATGTGTGTGTGTGTGGGTGGGAATAATGTACAAACGTGTTGGACTTATCGAGCAAGATATGCATGCAACAGCAAACAAAGCTCAATTCAGTTGCATTCTCGTTGCAGCTGCAGCTACAGCTACAGCTACAGCTCCAGCTACAGCTCCAGCTGCCATTTGGCTACGTTTCGCACTGCGAGTGGGAGCACAGTCCTCTTCAGGCTGTTTACGTGCTTATCGAGCAATCGATGTGAGAATTATAGCCGTGCTGGCACGGTT